AGGCAAGGATTCTTTTCTAAAGCCTGCAGAAGGGGCAAAGCCCTGCACCTTGATTTCAGCCTTCTAGCCTCTAGAACTGCGAGAGGATAAACTTCTGTTGTGGTAAGCTGCTACATTGTGGTAATTTGTGTGGCATTACTAGAAAACTACTGTAACCTATTAGATATAAGTGGTAACGGCCTCCATTTTGTGACCTCCGGAATGTTGGATGGCCTGTGGAGGCAAAGGTCAGCCCAAGCTGAGAACCACTGAACAGAATGTAAGTCTCATTAAAGAATAATCTAGTGGGTGACACATTCGACAAACCCACAGTCAAACCTTGGGGGTTTTATTTTTTAAGAGTTTTTTTGGCCTAAGTTTCACTGTTAAAATATCTTAATGGCCATTTAGAGGTAGTTTGAAACAAGAGTTTTCACACTGCCCTTCAAAATATATTTTATTGCGAAAATCATATTTAAACGAAACGAAAGGATCAATTTGTTTATATTTCAATGTGGCCAAGTTTTAAAAACAGTTTTACAAGGCTCTGTAAAAGAGCACACTGTTCTTGCCATTAGGCTTTTTAATTGTTCTTCAGCTTTTTGTTTATTTGTTTGTTTTTGCTGGTCTAAAAATGGCCTTTTTGTCCAGTGGTTCTCATTCTATGTAGAAAAAATATGAGTTCCCTGTTTGTTTTTTTATCTGTCCCTGACTTAGAAAGTCTGACTTGTAAATGTCCCCATCAGGAATTTATTTTTTGTCAAACCTTCTTTTCTCTTTTGACAAACTCTCTCTGGATTATGTGTCTGGGATCAATATAGTCTTATTCTCCTCTTCTTTCTACTATTCCTGTTACAGACAGGGGATAGGAATACCGTATTCCTTGAATCCAGAAGTAAAATTCTAAAAGCACTGTTTATTAGAAATATTGGTAATTCGATATTTTAATGCTATAGTTTAGTCATATCATGGCTTAAAAGGCTTTTGCAATTTGGCATGGGATCTCATGGTTATATATAGCATTGCTTCCATGAGGAAATATATTCTGAGTTCCAAACCTCTGTTGTATAAATAGTATATATTATCCATTCCTAGGTTATAGTCTTTTTGTAATTGGGCTGCACGTTTATAATGCTGTGTATCAGACAATGCTAAAATTAAGATTTATTAAAAACAACGTTAGTTATACATATTGATAGCAATCAACACATTATTTGGAGGAGAGAGAAAAAGAGAGAGAATGATATTTATCCTAATAATGGCTTTTACTTACACCTTTCTCTAAATGAAGTCCTTCCAAGATTGTAAAATATAATAAAGAGATTGGGGGGGGAGGGATTTAGAGAAAATGCTTATTCTTAAACAGAGGTATGGTTGAACTTATTTTCTGATACAGGTGAAACCAAATCTTAAGACCCAATGCAGTGTTCTAATGTTACTTACCCTCTTCTTTATCTTCCCAATTTACTTCAATTAAAATGGAGCTCCAGAATTAAATATGTGAAAATGTTACCTTAATATTTTAAGTAGAAATTAGAACATGTTTATTTCATTTAAAAATGTTAATAGTATAAATTATAAACCCATCTAGCAATGTCTATTTTAAAATATAATATGTGAAAGATATTTAAGTAGAGACCATTTTGCTATCTTACATGAACCTAACAATAGTTGAAAATTAGGATGTAATTCAGTTCTTTGATGCAACACCCTCATGTCCCATTGCCCTTGGAGAGGGAGAAAAATCTTTAATCCTTAGAAAAACTATTAGATGTGGGGTGCCTAGGTGGCTTGGTCGGTTGAGCATCTGACTTTGGCTCAGGTCATGATCTCGTGGTCCGTGAGTTCAAGCCCCGCGTCGGGCTCTGTGCTGACAGCTCAGAGCCTGGAGCCTGCTTCGGATTCTGTGTCTCCCTCTCTCTCTGCCCACCCCTACTTGTGCTCTGTTTCTCTCTGTCTTGCAAAAATGAATAAACATTAAAAAATTAAAAAAAAAAGAAAAAACTATTAGATGTTACTCTTTCATGTGGCATTTTGGCCACTACCTATAAAAGAATGTCGAGTGGAAAATCTCCAGCAACGGTTAAGAAAGGGGTGAGCAGGATACATTGAGGAATGTATGCTATGGTCTTGGTACCGTCACTCAATATTATACAACTTTTCTGATCCCTCCTGTTTCCTCCATGAAATGAAACCCCAGGTAACAAGTCAGAGGCAGCACTTGGATTAGGATACAAAATTCCTGCCTCTCCATTTTGAATTTCTTTCTGCGACTCAGCCTAATCCTTTTGGAAAAGTATTCAAACCAATCTGCCTGACTCTCCTGCCAATTTCCTTTAAACATCAACCTCAGCTGAATCAGCCGCCTGCCAGTGTCCTCCTACTGAAAGCAGTAAGGTTTACATTCCCACTTTTTTGATTAAAAACAAAGGACTTCTCACTGTTACTATTCTCACACCTTCCGGAGACTTGCCCTGCTTTTTCCACTCAAGAGGTTTGTGTACCTTGCCTCTTAAAGGGACTGTTCCCAAGGCAAAACATCACAAGAGTTACACATTTCCTTTTGCACTTGGGCTTGTTCAGTGGAACCTGGAGCCTGATCAAGATAAATGAATGCTTTAGAAGGGATATAAAGTTAGGATACAGGTGGCAGCTGGTTTACGGATGTCTGTATTTTTAATATATGGACTGGCCGTGGAAAGTGGTCACAACAGTTAGCACATTCTGGAGCTACCCAAACTTCCCTGCTCTTGAAGCTTGGTTTTTCTTTTTCCTCCTATTCCTTCAGCTTCTGTAAGCTTGGATTTTGCCCATGCCACTCCTAGACCTCTTTTCTCTTCTTGCTCGAATACTGGTGGGCTCTTCCATCCAGGTCCTGATATCGAGAAATGCAAAATGACCCCAGCTTCCAAGCCCATCTCCTTGGCATTATCTCCACCTCTGTTCCATCACCAGAGTCCCTCAGAGATGGAAACCTGGCTTCGTACTCTGCAGCTCACACGCCAATTTGGGAAATACACAAGCTAGTTATAGTCAATACAGCCAGTGGGTGGCACTCTGAAATTTTAATGACTCTCAATCACATTGTGGGCTTAATCGATATTAATATGACCCATGTCACCCTGGAGGGACCAAGTTTACTCAGTCTCATTGTCCTTACCAGCATCAAGCATGTATCAGGGGCTCTACATATTTACTTATTTAAGTGAAATAAGAATTAGAAATAAAACACTTTTTTCAGCTTATGTCACTTTCTTATTGCTGTTGGTGGTACGAATACTACTACTACTAATAAATGATATGGTCTAATAAATATCAGATATTAGACCATCTCATATCATTTATTAGTATTATTAGCGATATTATTTTCAAAGGATTATAGGCTTTTTTAGGGGTAAAGAATGCGGTGGGAACCCTCACAATTGTATTCAGCTCTGCAGCAGACTAGGCCAAGAAAAGAGAACTCCCAGGCAAGGAAGCAAAGATGTCCAAGTTGATGTTTTGCAAGTTTCACAGAACAGATGATCTAGAACAGCTCATTCCTTCCCATCCGCACCCTCCTGGCTTCCGATCCACAAGTCAATCACATCCGCCTTCATCTTCCTGAGATATTCCCTCTTAAATACAACCTCTAAGTGAGCTATGCTCAAGAATGGAAAAAACAATACTTTTTTTTTATCAGGAGAAGAATGATGATAAGAGCCTTTTGGCCGTGTGTGTGTGTGTGTGTGTGTGTGTGTGTGTGTGAGAGAGAGAGAGAGAGAGAGAGAGAGAGAGAGAGAGACAGGGAAAGACAGGAGGGGAGACACACACAGAGAGAGAAAATGAGAGAGAGAGAGAGAGAGAGAGAGAATATAAATGAATGAATATTAGATGTGGGTGGAAGAAATGTTTTGTATTCCTGATAGCCCAGTGAGAAACTCAGGGCATATTTTCCTTTATAGTCATTGTCAGAGCGTGGTATGATTTACATATTAATTTCATTAAAGGATTAAGGAGGAAGTGCATTCTACCTTCCAAAGCTGCTTTGAAGTGATCAAGCCTTTGGAATACAGCTTATTGGAGAGCTAGGTTCTGCTAGGTAGATTTTTTATTAGGCAATATTGTAAAAGCTATGTATAAGCTGAACCAACAAAGGTGATCACTAATTTTGATAATATTTTTCATGCACATGAGAAAAGAACTGGAAATCTAATCTTGCACTAGGAGTAAGTTTCTGAGCAGAGTATTAAGGAAGTGAAATAAAAAAAGGCTCAGGTTTCATTTAAATTGAATGAGATGTTGAAAGAATGCAGCCAAGACTACACTCATAAATAAGCCTTTTTCCCTTTTTTGACTTACTTGATAGAGTTGGGGTGGTTTTCATGGGAGGTAAGTTCAGGTGCCTTGAAGTCAAAGAAACCGTAACCAGAATACACTCTCCAGACGAGTGGGCCAGGTGGAAATGGAAATTTTCTTCCTCAGTAAAGGTTTTCAAAAGATGAAAGAAGTGACAGAGGAAAACCAAAAGTCACTTTGGTAGGGGGCGCTTCGGTCTGTCACGGGAAGACAAACAGAAACCTTCACTGTGTGTTCATTGTATCTTCTCTGTCCTCTTTTAATGCCCCTTTATTATGGTCTCTCTGTCTTTGTTTACTCATTTTCTTCCTGCCTCTTCATGTCTGTCTTTTCTACCACTCTTATCTAATTCCTCAATGTCTTCATTTATGTTTTATAAAGAAACTACAAATGGTAGGATAAGACAATGAATTTTTTTAAAGCTACTTGATATAAATCAGTAGGTATTTTTCAGTACAAAAAAAAAAAAGAACATAGAAAAAGTTGGAAATTTGGTCACATTTGATAGCTCCATATATTTCTGAATCTCTGGGAGCATATGAGACCTAGTTCATTGGAGCTTCCTGAAACATTTTTCATTCAATAGTATACAATATAACATTTTAGCTGTTACATACTAGCTTGTATGTATGATAATACATAGCTTGATAATACTATGTAACCACCTGTTATTTTTCTTACAGTTTCACCTTTGACAAGTCTACCCATTGAAGAAGAAAGGATAACAAAGTATTCTAACCTTTCCTTGGAGAGTCATAACATACCACCCACAGGTAAATGTACCTCATTTCAAATAATACAGTGCCCCCCAAAGTTTTTGTGTTTGATTAAGTGACTGAATTTTGCTTCATGAACTGTTAATCCCTGCTCATGGTCTGATGGGAGATACACACCAGTACCTCATCCAATTAGAAGGGAGCATGTAGGAGTCTAA